ATCCATCCCTAGCTTATTCGTCGTTAATCACACTAATAACCATCACACTCATCATTTTTAATCATTACAACATATAATTACCATCATTAATCATCTCTATCAACCGCAACCACAACCACAACCTCAATCACAGCCCTCACTTCATAATCATAACCTTTAATTTTCATAGAGTGCTTCATCCAACAAACAATTTTTTAATTCAACACCAAATAAATGTTTTCTTGATATAATTATTTTATCATTATTTTATTTTTAACTCATAGAAATGGTAGATGCACCTACACTACTACATCCTTTAAACAAGTTGCTTTAAAGATAATAGAAGTGCCTTTCTTCTGTTTAATACATGTACTGAATTATATTCTTTGTCTTCCACTTTTCAAAAAAATAATAATTAATCAACAAATATATATCCCTAACTATATTATAAAAACATTTTTCCAAACGTGTAATGAGAGTTTCTTTCTAACAACAAACAAAGGTACAAAACCAAAAAAATGTGTATAACAAAAAAATAATCAAAAAAGCATCTCCAACTACTCCAATCATTAGTATCATAAATTATTTAACTTTTTTTTTTAGGGATTATAACTTTTGCAGCTATCGATTATTGATAACTTTTAATTTTATAATATTTGGAAAAGTATATTTAATCTTTTAATTAATTGAAATATGTAGTTTTGATTTTCTTCATGTGGAAATATGTTATATTTGGAATAATTTTTAGAATTATATTATTGTCAAATATAGAGTGATAATATGAATTTAAGTATTTAATAATTGACTATCATGGTAAATTTGTGGATATACACAAGTATGAGGATCAAAAGTGCTTGTTTCAATAATAAATTGTAGGTTAAATGTACTTAATTAGACAAATATCACAATAACTATAATTAAAATTAATATTCTATCATAAATTGGTCCAAAATTAATATAATCTGCTTAACCAATAAAAATAAAAATAAAATACAACCATTGAAAAACCAAATATGGTATTAAAAAATTCTTCTATATACACAACTATACATATGTGGGGGTTGCAAATAAAGTAGGTTCATCCATTAAAGATTTATTTTACTTCACATTGACTAACTTATTATAGATAGACAACTTATAGCTAGCCCACCAGTGCTGACAAAAGTGTAAAAGTTTATAAATTGAGACAAACATGTAATATAATCAAGATACCTCAAACCTAATTTATAAAGAAATAAAAAAGTGCATAATTTATTTGGGAATATTTATTATGGAGATATATAACTTTACACTTCCTCATATACAAGAATAATAATATACATAGTAAGATTTGAAAAAAAATAGAGTGTATATATTTTTACCTAACTTTAGAAGTGAGCTAATTAGATATGTTGTTTCTGAAAGAGTTCCGACTTAAAACACAGACGATCTAGAAAAAAAACTCACACTTCCTCCGATAATTATTTTAAAATATTGTTATCTATAAGTTCAACTTTTCACTTACTTAGTACTCATTGAACATTTTTAGTTATCATAGAAAAATTCTACTTGCACTTTTATAATATTCTACTTACTTTGCTTGGAATGTACATGTTAGAATATAATTAATACGAGGATTCTTGAGTATTTTATATCTATACTTTTTGTCTGTAACAAAATTAATGATCTTGATATTCATGACTTATTCTAATTTTAATAGAGCACGCATAGTATGAATGATGAATTTAGACGTTATGAATTTTGAATTGAAAAAAGTGAATTTAGATGTTTATTTTGGAGATATATGTTTCAATAGTTATTACCATCTCTTAATTTCCTAGGTTTGGTCGCGCCCCAATTAATTTTTCGACTAGATCACCCTAAGAACAGTATGTGGGGCTCGGGTCTCCCACAACAAAAATAAATACCAGATAACTCTGTTTATTAAGATTTAAAAAAAATAAAATCATCTGATGATAATAACATTGTTATATAAAGGTTTGGCGATATTAATAGTTGCTAATGGAGAATATCATATCTAAGTTACATGCTAAGCTAGCTAAAGTAGCTAAATGTCAATTATTCACTATCATTATATTTTTTCACAACTTGCAATTCCTTAATTCTATTTTTCCTTTAAAATATTGTCAGTAAAAGCACACTTGTTCTTCAAGTTTAAATTAAAGTGTATATATATAGCTTCTCTGAAACTCAAACTTACAAAGTGAAATAATAGTACTTTCTACCATAATTTATAAGACATAATTTAAATTTAACTGTCAAATTCTTTATTGTGATTTTGTATTTGGACATACTATCATGATCAAAGACGAACCTAGGATTTGAAGACTTTTGGTGCAATAATCTAAATTTAAAATAAAAATAACAAAATGTGGCTTTAGTTGAATTCAAACTCTGGTCTCACGAATGGTATCTTTGGCTTGTATCAGTGGCACAAGACGCTCTTATGCTCCTCATGGGTACACTGTTAATTATATCCTGATTTTTGCCAATTTTTCAAGATAGATATACATATATACACATGATTTTTTCTAAAGTTAATGGATGCACGTGCACCCTTAACTATGTGTGTGGGTCCGCATCTGATCATTACTATAAAAAATATTATTTTTCTATTAAAATTTTCCACTGAAAAATGACGAGTGATTATTCCTACATATATTTTGACTAAATCAGTTAAAAAAATATTATCACACGAAAAAAATTAAAAAGCTTCTCAATATTATAACGAGAATCCGTTTCCTACCATGCATTTTCTAGTATGCTAGATAACACAATTTTTCTCAATTATTCGCGGCGACAAAAAATCTCTATTTCTAGCCATGAATCGTTAAGATTTTGAAAAATAATTACACTAACTACATAAAAAATACGATAAATCACAAAATTTTCAATTTAAGATATTTAAATTCATACTAATAAATCGTAATCAAATTTTTTCGTATTTAACTTTTGAAATTCGAACTATGTCATTTTAATTGGATCAGATGAAATATGTGGTTGATTTTTTTAAAAAAAAAAATTGACAGATCATCATCCATTTTCGTATCACAAAAAAAGTAGGAGCCCAATATTTTTCTTTGTATATAAAAACGAGGAACGTGGAAGACAAAACATTAAGATTGTGACCCCAAAAACAGCTGTAGTACGTTATATAAGGAATCAACGACTCATGATATGTCAAATAGTGACATACGAAAACGGATTGAGAATTTAAAGTTTATGAGTTTTAAATTAAATTTTAATAATTAATTTGGATCAAAACTATTATTTGATAAAATCTGTAATCTATTTTCTAGCTCCGGCACTGATGAGGTGCGTAATTTTGCACAAGAAGTGTTAGTATAACTATGTAATATAACATCCCGCTTACGACATTTTCGGCAAAAATGATTAGTTTTAACTTAAATTTTATATTTATTTTTGAAAAATAATTGAATTAATATTTATGAGTTCTAAATTTAGATAAAACTTACTTTAAAAGACTTGAATCTAAAATTTAGAAATTTCAAAATTTTGATCACGGATAAGACAAGTTCATTGGTTTTTACTTCTTATTTGAAGTTAATACCCTATTATGTATTTGTCAATTTATTAAGAAAATAATTTATAGTTTTACAAATATTTATAATTTGTTAATAACAAGTTTTAAAAGACTTTCTTTCGTATATTCGATGTCTGATCAGTGATCAAGTAGTATCAAATAAACTGAGATATTGAAATATCTTTTTATATTTGGAGACCATTTATAACTAACAAATATTTATAATTTATTTATATCTTTTGTTTGTCTTAAATTTTGTGCCCAACTAAATACCGTCCCCACAACAGATGGAAGTAATATTTAGAATAAAAAAATTATGATGAAGCGATAAATATTTCTTCATGTCTCGAGTTCGAGTTATACTGAGTATAAATTAAGAAACATTTTACTCTCAATATAAGATTACTTAGTATAAATTTAATTAAGCCTCAATACAAATACCGATTATCGAGTGAGAAAAAAAATACACATGTATAGTGAAACTTTTGAGAGATGAGACCCCTACATCTTGTAGAAGAGTAATGTCTACCACCCCTAATATGTACAGCTAGATCCTAAAATTAAGCATAATGTTTTATCTTGTTTTTTTTTTCAACAATAGGATGAAGTGATCTACTCCACTTAATTAGTTTTTTGCTATTTATGACTTATGATGTTGGTAGATGAGTAGTTTTTTTTGGACCCCTCAACCCAATTTCAAAATTTATTTAGACAATTTAATGCATAAAGTATTTTATATTTATGTAGAGTTTGGAGAAGAGTAGTAAGTCCGTAATTATTTTTTAGGTGATTAAGTTGAACAAACATTTTTTTCTTGTGGTAATTAAAAAGGCTAACAGGGGTCATTTTGATTTATAGATTACAGATTTAAGTCATGAAATCAATAATTGATGCTTGTATAAGGATATCAGGGTAATCGACCTATATTACACCTCATAAATGTGAAATACTTTGTGTATCAGATTGTTTCTTTTTATTTTATTTTAAAAAAAATTGCCAACATGCAGCATTTATCCATGTTACTAGCTAGGTCCCCTAAGAGCAAAAAAAAAAGTTTTTTTTTTAAAAGGACAAAACTTCAAGATGAATATTAATACCAAATAGAAAAAGATGAAGGCTGGAATTTTTTACATAAAAATTAAATAAGAATAAATGCACACATTAAAGAATGCAACAATGCAACAACAATATACATTGAAGAAACAAGTAGTAATTAACCATAATTAGTCTTAATTTTCCCTCTATTGTGAGAACATCCATTTTAACATTCATGTTAATTAATCAAAATCAAATTAACAAATCTAATAACAAAAAAAAAAAAAAAACTCACTAACTACTTGGTGAATTCAGGAGATTCAACTGAACTGATTGCTTTTGATCATTCAGAACTACTTATACATATGCAAGAAAAAAAAATTAAAAAAATTCAAAATGTATGCATATATATATTAATAAGATGACGTTCATTCTGAATCAATCAACATGAATAAAACTCGACAAGTTCATCCATCGACTCGGGTTGTGGATCAGCATTTTGAAGCATCCATAGCAAATGTTCAAATAAAACAACTTCACATCCAACACTAACATATTCCTCCGAATCACTTGTCCTCCTTTCGATAAGTTCTCGAAAAAGAGGGTGATCGATAACATCGGAGGTAACTAGGTACCTACGTCTCGATTTTCCAACGTAGACGGGGTGTAAATTATTGTTGTTGTTGTTGTTGTTGTCGTCTTCGAATGAATTATATGCATTGTTTTCCAACATGTTTGTGTTGTTGATGCTATTGACACGACCAATTTTCAAATCTAATAAAAAAAAAAAAAAAAACTCACTAACTACTTGGTGAATTCAGGAGATTCAACTGAACTGATTGCTTTTGATCATTCAGAACTACTTATACATATGCAAGAAAAAAAAATTAAAAAAATTCAAAATGTATGCATATATATATTAATAAGATGACGTTCATTCTGAATCAATCAACATGAATAAAACTCGACAAGTTCATCCATCGACTCGGGTTGTGGATCAGCATTTTGAAGCATCCATAGCAAATGTTCAAATAAAACAACTTCACATCCAACACTAACATATTCCTCCGAATCACTTGTCCTCCTTTCGATAAGTTCTCGAAAAAGAGGGTGATCGATAACATCGGAGGTAACTAGGTACCTACGTCTCGATTTTCCAACGTAGACGGGGTGTAAATTATTGTTGTTGTTGTTGTTGTTGTCGTCTTCGAATGAATTATATGCATTGTTTTCCAACATGTTTGTGTTGTTGATGCTATTGACACGACCAATTTTGAAAGATTGCATTTTTTTCAAGACTGATTTGATTTTTGTGAGCTTGCCTCCTTTGGTCATGACTATGAGAAGATAGAAAGAGGTTTTGTATTTTTTTAAAATTGAATATGAAAGAGAGTTGGTGTTTAGGAGAAAGGAGGAGGAAGGTTCATATATAAAGGAAGTTAAAAGACTTTGGGACAACATTGAATTGCCTATGTGGGGTTTTTAACTTATTTTAAGTGGACCCCGAGTCTAAATTAGTCAGTTTTGAATATTATATGAGTCTGAATTAGTTGGATCAATAAGTTTTGAATATCATACGATCTGAATTAGTCGAATCAGTCAGTTTTGAATATCATATCATGAGTTTAAATTAGTTAGATTAGTGAATTTCGAATATCATATGATTATAGTTAAAAAATATTAACTTTTTCTATTATACTTTATTGTGTGCATGTAATTTACACTAGACCAAAAAACTTGTGAAAGTCAAAGGCAAATGCCGCTTTTTTCGCTATGGGTTCAGTGAAATTCAAGGGTAAATCTAATATATCAGTATCGGGTTTATATGAATTCAACACTTTTGATGCGCAACATAAACTTACGTCGAAAGATAGATCTACTAAAATTTCAATAAATACTAAATATGAATTCATAACTTTAAAAAATATAACATGTTCAACGGTAAGAACCTTAAATATTGAATCCATAAAATTTGAAGATCCGCCACAACCTGAATCCATAATAATTTTTTTAAGGAGAGTATAGATAAATATGTACAAATCTATGAAAGAATATTAATAAATATTATATTTGAATCCATAATTTTAATAATACTATGTGTTCATTGCTGAAAATCTTAAAACTGAATGTCTGAAGCTTAAATTTTGAATTTTCACTACAAATTGTTTCAATAAAGATAAAATAAAAGAATTGAAGCTAAATTATTTTTAAAAAAATATAAAAAGGTATAATGTTCTTTTTTAGATTATATTAAACAAGATGATGTGTCATACAAAATGGAATTGATATAAAAAAAAATTCTAAAAAAAATAGATTGAATTGCTTTTAACACTTTGGAGGGGGGCCTTGCTAGTGTTTACAATTGGTGCCAAGATTTGTGGCAGGAAAATTAAAAACCAGCTGTGGCTTTGGACCCATTTTAGGGACCCAATGAATAGGCAACGGAGTCCTTTGACACCTTGATGTTGACTCGTCATATCTTGAACTTGAAGAAATGTTTTAAGGGTTCGATTATTTGACAATTCAAGTGGTACGTGGATCATTTTTCATTATTTGACTGAGTATCAAATTTAAAAAAAAAAAAGAATTGATTTTCAAATAAGTTAAGAAATTTTAATAACAATAGTATATTTAGAGTAATCCACTAGTAGGTTATAAAATAGATAATGTGTATGCACACTTGAAAGCACACTTGTTTCTATAGGCTCTTGGCAAATTCTAAAAGAAAAATTGGCCTTAAAAATGTGTTCTTAAAAGTAAAATAAAAAATTTAAAATTTATTTTTATTTTTTGTGATATATAGACCAAAAAAAGAAATTACTTTTTTATTACAAAATACTGATTATATAAGTTTAGAGTAGTTGATAAAAATTAAAAGAATTCAATTTCTACCTCGTAATTCCCTCTTCAATTTTTCTTTCTCCTCTCCTCCCCGATAAAAAATAAAATAAAATAAAATAAAATATTGAAGATTCATGAAGTTATCAAAATTAAAAAAATTGTCATATTTTATTAATATATCTAGGGCATATCAACTAAAATGCTTCCAAATATTTTTTAAAAATTTTACGTAATTTTTGGACAAGGGGGTAAAGTTGTTAAAAGCGCCACGTACATCTAACAACTAATTAAATTCTAAATTAATCAAGAATTTAATAATTAAGTATTACTACTAATTATTAGTAAGAATTTTTTTATTCAAACTAGAAGTTCAAGTATTTTATTTTAATTTTGTTTTCCACATCTTCTATCTCTGTTTTAAAGTCCAATTAATTTAACTTCAAATTGAAGAGTCTCGTTATAAGAGCTTAATGATTTTCTATCAAAAACGACTCTGTATCCCGAACTGAGACTGCAAATCTTTCCTCGAATTTTGGTGGTTTGGGACACGTGTCCACCATAATATTTTCTTGTTGTTAATGACTATGTGCAATGTTTAAGAATTTCAAGGCCAACAACCTATTGTTTGTTTATAATTTTTCTTGTTTTTTTCAATTTTTAGCTTACCTACCAAATTAAAATTAACGTTGTTTTTGTCTCAGAAGAAGCTATGTAACCGCAGAAATATGTGCCTCAAATTTTAATTTTAATTTTAATATAATATTGTTTGAATTAATTTGGGTGTGTTTCAATTATTTTATCAATTCGTTAGCTTATACTTAAACTATTTTATCAGATACATATTATATTTATCATCAACAAATATATTCAATACCTTTATCTACTAAGATATATAAAAAAATAAAAAAAAAGAGGTAAATATCGATAGGTTCATACAAGGGAATTCAATTGAATCACGTTTGGAAATTATATTGTGTTGGAATGGGGTAAAATGTTGTTTTTTTTTTTGTTTAATCTCTTTAAAATGACCAAAAATCTAGTGTAGTGTTAGCAAAAGGGGTTCAAAAATTATTTTAGATCATAAGTTCAAATCGAGGGGTAACAATTTGTCTTTTACTCTTTTTATATGAAATTCTAACTTTGCTAATATATGGTGTAATATTTTATTTTTATTGAAATTCAAATTATGATCTTCTATTATGTTTGCTCATTTTATTGACTCCTATATTACATATTATTTTTTTTCAATTTTTTGTTTAGAATTTGATATTTGTATTGAGACTGAATTTAAATTTGTGCATTATAGAATTCATTTCTGGAGGCGGTGCTTCGGTGCATGCATTTTGCATCCTGACTTCCAATTGATTTATTTTTTAAGGAATTTCCTTTTTTAAGTAGCTTTGTTTGCATGAAGACAATTTAGTAGAGGTGATAAAGACCTAGATTCTTTTATTTGTTTTTTTGTTGAGAGAATAATCAACTCTCATTAATTAATTAAAATAATCATAGGAATAATTAGATCCTCATCTAATTACTTAATTAATCAATCAAAGAAATTATATTGAACTTGTAAACAAATACTAACTCCTTTTAATTTATTATATAAAAGTAAAGTCGTATATGAGTTCTTCTATTATTAAATCGTTATATCATCATTTCTAAGAGTTTTTGATACTTCAAAATATTGGTAAATTCTACATTTAGTTCCTATGATTTTGACTAAACATATTAAACCTTCTATTAGTCGACTTGTTCGATTTTAAATTAATTTCTTACTCAGGAATATTCACAAATTTACTAATTATATATTAACCTTTCATGTTGCTACTTAATTACTCGTACCAGCTTATCTGGATCATTACTTTGTAGTTATCGATAATATGTATAATTCTATAAATAGTCAAATATGACATATCTTTTAAATGAAGGGACCAACAACATATTTTAACTAATTGAAAGTTAAATATACCTAGTCATATAGGATATATATCATAAGGAGCAAAAGAGGAATTTACCAATAATTTAGGGACCAAAGTGTTATTATCCCAAAAACAAGAAGGAGAAAAGACAAGAGATGATCAAGAGTTTTTAAAAAATACTTTCTTTATTTTAATTTATGTGACGTTGTTTAACTTGATACATCGTTAACTAAGAAAGAAAGATTGATATTTGAAATTTGTAGTCTAAAATAAGCTATGTATATATATATTAGTGTATGTGGCTATAAATTTTCTCATTAAAGGTAAAATTAATATTTTTAAAGTTAAATTGTTACTAAATATAGAAATGTATCATTATTTTTAAAACCGACTAAGATGGAAAGTGTGTCACATAAATTGAGACAGCGAAAGTAGTGATCATGGAAGGTTAATTTATTTTCATCTTTGTGCAATGTATAGATGACTTTTTTAGGAATAAGGAAAGTTATATATGAAAAACACCCCATAGTCCATATTATATTATATTTCCGTTAAGTTCTTAATGTAATTCATTGAATTAGTTCAATGTAAAGAGATTCATTCATTTAGAGTGAAGAACACTATAATTATTGAAAATCAAAGCAAAGTTAAGTTTTAGGATAAGAACAAAAAAGAAGTGATGAATACTTGTAGGTAATAGGTTCGATGAACTTAAACATACATGATAAATATTGTTAATCTTAATATAATAAAATCCCATTTTCAAGATTGATCTCTTGATTTATAAGGTTCCTTTTAATATAGTAAAAATATTTGTTTTGCTTATCTTAACTTATAAAAATTTGAACATTTAATTCATAATTTTTGTTAAGGTATAGTACATTTGGTCCTTGCATATTATAATTTGTAAATTGTAATTTTAGTTCTTGTGATTTTTTACTATACATATTTAACCGTCAATTACGTATTTGAAATATATATTTTTGATTCCCTTGCTTATGAATATTTTACAAATTTTCAGAATTATTAACCGTTCACAATGTAATTATCCTTGTGTTATGTTAATTAAGTTTTATTATTGCTTCATATTTGAGTTAACAAATAATAACATGGATGAGTCTTTCCTCAAATGAAAATGACACAGATAAGTCAAACTTTTAACGGATGTCATAAATGAGTTTTTTTTCAAAATTTGATGTCATATTTGAGTCGTTTCCCTTTTATTAATAACTGAGAGACCAAAAGTACTATCTCCCTAAATAAAAGAAGTCAATCTGACGCACTAAGCTTGCTACACGCAGTAAACCACAACAAGTCTTTATGTACACGATGCTATCTTTACAACTTGAATTCATGACCTTCTGATCACGTAACAATATTTATAAAAGGTATTTCTTTCATGTCCTAAATATAAAATTATTGAAGAATTCTCTTTTTTCCCTCCAAATAACTTTTGTTGAATTGTTGATATTTTATGTTTTTTTTTATATTTTTACTTTTAGAAGGGTCCTCCAGAGCATATGCATT